GGTCAATGTCATGTCAATCACAAATTGAACTATCCAATCAGAGAACAGATTGGTTTGGCTGTCGGAGCGATGCTTTACTGAGCTGCAGGTCCTTGAAGGGTAATACAGTTTGAAGCTGGAGGATCTTTATATAAATATTCCATAAGGCTCATACAAGCTAGGTCCTTTAACTTTTGGTAGCTGTTGAAAGGATACAGTTGTGGTATACCAGTGGTCAGAAATACCATTATTACTTTAGTATTACTTTAACACAAAATCAGTGTTGAACTGGGACCATTGCAATGAGTCACACTATGCAGCATGAAGGTGGTTTCACATCGGACTTGGCATGGATCTAGAATTTGTTGCGCTGACTGCTGAGCTCTGCTTGTATATCGTTTTTTAGCGGCCGCTCTAGGTGTACTAGATGCACCTGATCCTTGTCGTTTCAAAACATGTATCTCTCTGACTTTATCTCCTCTACGAGAGTTTGCGTTGAATCATGTTTAATAAAAATGTTTAATAAAAAAGTATCGCTCATTCATAACGAGGAAAGCTTTGTAACTGTCCCGACTAGTGAAGAGTGTGTCAATTCCACAACGCTGCTTTTCCTCCGAGGTCAACAGTGCATTTGAAAACGCTCTGCTGGTTCCTGTGTAAGAACGTCAACCTGCGAGAAAAAGTTTACTTGGACACACACAGATGCTTTCCTTCAAGCGGCAGCTGAGATACGCTAAAGGATTTAGAGAGTTTCTCTGAATAGAAATGGGCAAAAAAACCCTGAGATTTGCGCAAACCTTGTAACCAACTACAAGAAATGTCTTAGTGCTCTACTTGCCAACAAGGGATTCCCCACCAAGTACGTTTACCAAGTCACGTTTCGATTTGGATCCACTACTTATTTCATTCAGTTGCATGCAAATCAATTCTTAACTTTTAGGTAATTTCTGTCTCTCTCCTATAAAATGCATCCACCATAAAATTAGAGACTTTTCATTTCTTTGAAAGTGAACAAATTTACAAATTCAGTGGTTGATCAAATAATTATTTAACCACTGCATACAACATTTCATCAGCAGTAGTGTTGCAGTAGTAGTAGTTGGCAATTTCATTAAAGTCTTAGTCACACAGACCTAGAGACTGGTTACCAACTATGTTGATGCCACCAGTTCCAAGGGAAAAATTTGCATTAACCAAACAGTGGTTTTTAGAGGCTGGTAGCAGTGCAATCAGTTGCTAATGCCACTGTGGAATATACGAGGCCCAGGTACACGCACACGCAGGTTGTTATTGCCAAGTTCCACATTTATTCACACGTTTCACAGGGTTATGCTTTTCACATAGACTGACAGCTCTTTCCCAGCTGACGTGTGTCGTTTTTTCCCTCTCGCCACCGCTCTCCGTCTCACTATAAAACAGGGGAGGGAAAACCATCGTCAGTCCATAATCACCATCAGCTGTTCTTACCGGCGTCTCCCGTACCGCCCCGTTGAGCCCACTGCACCACTCCTCCCCTGCAGCTGCGCCCGGGGCCACGCATCCGCCACAGCGTCATTCACGCAAGCATAGAAACTGATCATAGAAACCAATCAGAAACCAATCAACCCAGCAACCCCTGGTCACTAAATTGCGTATTTTGATGAGTTAATTTTAGAGGTTGCTGACAGTGCTGCACTCAGAACCTGCGTGACAGACGCTGACGTGACTGCAAACTTGTGCAAGTTGCTGGTAACACTGGTAGTGAAACTGTGAAAAGTGCAACACAAACCAGAAACGGAAACAGTTCACCCGCAGAGTTAAAGCTGTGCTATTTGAAATGTGATGACTGCAGCAGTAAAGCACATCTTTTACTCTGAAGATAAGTGTTCACCCTTTCTAGTTTGTGTCTCACAGTTTTTACATTTCAATGCTGCACAGAGAGTAGACTGATTAGTGTCTGCAGACATGTGCGGACCTTTCATGCAAACTGTGAGTTACTGTGTCAATCTGCCACTGATTGAAGGAATGACAAGGATAGAATGAGCTTTGCTCACTCAGCGTTAGCCAGCAACCTCTAGCAACCACTTGCAACTGATTGACAAGACACATTTTTCCCTCGTGAGTGGTTGTCAGATCATTGCTAAGAGGTCTCTAGCCCCGAGGCCTTAGTTAGTTACTGTTCGATGGATTTCCATGAAATAAACATCTAGTAATCCCTTTCATTTTTCTCCCGTGCCACCATGATGTTGACATTTTTAATTTTAAGTGTAATAGATCAGTGACTATCAGGTGGATTGTAATGAAATGAGGGAAAACACAGACTTTGCATCTGTAGCCAACATTGCAATTTGCAGTTTAATTCTCAGGCTTTTGACCACATAGCAGTAAAACCTAAACTAAGATTTCACACATGGTCAATATTATACTATAATGAAGTGTTTAACTGACATGAGCTGAAAAAAGAAATTAAGAGTGTTAATCAAGCAGATCTTATTAGGGCATTCCCACATATTTTGTTTGAGGGTTCTCTTCAGTTTCTGGTGCAGGTTTGCAGGGATGTCACTGTATCCTTTACCCGTCGCTTGTTATGGTAAGAACCCAACAGCTTGAAACAAGTTTGAAGACCAAGCCAACATTTGGTCTCTTTCTCATGTGTTTCAAGCCATTTTCTGTTTATTTTGTGTTGTAACGAGAACCACACATGTCCTCTTCGTATATACTCATTCACTGTATATAAAGTTCTGTCTCTCTCTTTTTCTTCGAGGAGTGTATCAGGTCACATTTCACTGCGTGTTATACCTGTATAACCATGCATGTGACAAATAAAGAATCTTGAATCTCTTGAATCACAAAAACAACAACAACAGAAACGGCATCAGTATTTAGATAAGTAGTACATTCCAAAGTACAGCACTCAGCAGAACATCGTTTTGCTATTGGACAAATCACTTCAGAAATTCTATATTTTGTGAATTGTTACATTTTATAGTTTTTAAAATGTTATAATCCTTTACATTACTGCCTTTTCAGTACGGTCACACCTTTCTGTAAATGAGTAAACAATGAAGAAAGCATGACAAAGGCAGGACAGTGAAGGCTGAGAAAAGGAACAATGTAGTTATCCTGTAAGTGATTTGCAGATCTTTCTTTCTGCTTACATTCTCACAGAGTTTGACCCCCCCTCCAACCACACGCCGTGTGTAATGGAGGTGAAGACCCTGACAGGGGCCTTCCTCTTCTCTCTGGAATCCCAAACCACGATTGGCTTCGGCTTCAGGTGCATCACAGAGGAGTGTCC